CCATAGTATTTGTGGATTGAATCCTTATTTTTATTTTTATTTTTGCCCTCGCCCTTACAGTGGTAGTACCAGCCTCACCGTGAGTGGGACTCATCTGCTGACAATCCAGGAGCCACGGGTTCGAGCTGCATACGGTGGCATAGAAACCATTAATGTGAGTTTGTTGTTTTGTGGGAGACATGATTAAGGGAAACTGATGTCAGTGCATGGGAAGAGAAGGAGGCTGTTTCCAGAGATAAAACAGTCATTAGTCAGTTTCAGGCAGCCTTTTACAAGGCATCTGTTCAGACCTCTCAGCGGAGCAGTCCATCTCTCCCCTGGTCATCTGCTGGATTGGGGAAGAAGAGGGTCAGAAGAGGATGGAGACAGGATGACGCCACCCATCTGTACATTGATCAGTTTGTTGTTTAGTCATTAAGTCGTGTCTGACTCTTCGTGACCCCATGGACCAGAGCATGCCAGGCCCTCCTGTCTTCCACTGTCTCCCGGAGTTGGGTCAAATTCATGTTGGTCGCTTCGATGACACTGTCCAACCATCTCGTTCTCTGTCGTCCCCTTCTCCTCTTGCCTTCACACTTTCCCAACATCAAGGTCTTTTCCAGGGAGTCTTCTCTTGTCATGAGATGGACACAGTATTGGAGCCTCGGCTTCAGGATCTGTCCTTCCAGTGAGCACTCAGGGTTGATTTCCTTTAGAATGGATAGGTTTGTTCTCCTTGCAGTCCAGGGGATTCTCAAGAGCCTCTTCCAGCACCACAATTCAGAAATATCAATTCTTTGGCGGGCAGCCTTCTTTATGGTGCAGCTCTCACTTCCATACATCACTACAGGGAAAACCATAGCTTTGACTATGCGGACTCTTGTTGGCAAGGTGATGTCTCTGCTTTTTAAGATGCTGTCTAGGTTTGTCATCACTTTCCTCCCAAGAAGCAGGCGTCTTTTGATTTCATGGCTGCTGTCACTATCTGCAATGATCATTGAGCCCAAGAAGGTAAAATCTGTCACTGCCTCCATATCTTCCCCTTCTGTTTCCCAGGAGGTGATGGGGCCAGTGGGCATGATCTTAGTTTTGCCTGATGTTGAGTTCAGACCATTTTTTGCACTCTGCTCTTTCACCCTCATTAAGAGGTTCTTTAATTCCTCCTCACTTTCTGCCATCAGAGTGGTATCATCTGCATATCTGAGCTTGTTGATATTTCTTCCTGCAACCTTAATTCCGGCTTGGGATTCCTCCAGTCCAGCCTTTTGCATGATGTATTCTGCATATATTAAATAAGCAGGGAGACAATATACAGCCTTGTCATACTCCTTTCCCAATTTTCAGTTGTTCCATATCTGGTTCGAACTGTTGCTTCCTGTCCCACATATAGGGACAGGAAGGACATTGATCACTTATGCATCTCCAAAAAGAGAAGATATGCATCACCAGAAAAGAGGATGCATTTTCATACTATTTGTAGTTTATACCAAATAGAAGTCGGCAAAGACTTGTGTGGATAGAATGTAACTTTTATGTTGTATTTTATTAATATTTTTTTTAAAAAAAGAATTCAGCAAAGATTTTAAAAATAAGTGCTGTCATTTCCACTGAAATATAGTCCAATTTCATCGGGAGGGTGAGAGAGGCTATCATCAGACCACACATCTTCTGCGCCTGCTCAGTTTGTTGTCCAGATACAAACCATTATGGAGGGGCAACTTCAAACCCCCTATGATTCTCCCTCCTTATAATTTTTTTTCTTGAAACTGGAATTGCAGAGGGTAGCCCTTCACACTGAGGATGTTTTCAAAGAAAATAATCTCTTCTGTACAACCAGGCAGGTGGCAACCCTGTGCCCATGTTTGGTTGTAATTTCATCCGTTACCACCAGTACGTTGCTCTGACAGATTACCTCTGAGGAAATTAAGTCCAGGAGGAAAAGAAGTTTCCATCCCTGTTGCGCTGTTCATGATGCTAAGGCTTTCGTAAGATGATTCTTTTTTAAATTGTGATTGCTGTAATCGTACATGTTATAGGAAGATATTGATTAGAAGTGAATGAAAGTAAGTATGAGAATGAAAAATGGAAGAACCTTAGCTATTGTGTTCCAAACTCCCTTGAAGGAAGGACAAAAATAAGAAACATTATATGAAATACATTATCTTCATGTCTTGTTGTGGCATGTCTGTTTCCCGGGAGAAAAGAAAAATATCCAAATTGGGATGGGGGGTAGAGTTGGTTGGCAGAAGGAAGGGAGAAATGCTGTTAGCCAGTGGGTTCTAACTGAAAGTTGGGCCACAATGTCATAGGTTACAGCTGTTGCTGATATATACCCTTTAAAATGACAACCGCAGAAAATACTTGTGTGAATGCTCACTATAGCTATATAGTGTTTTTTTTTAAGTGCTGGGAGTGCAGTGGCAAAATGCCTGAGGCAAGATGTGATGTGAGGTGTCCCTAGCTGCAATCTGTAGGAGAAGGGTCAGAAGGAACTGCACTGTGATTTTTCTGATCATGTATTTCTACTTGAAGACTTTATAATTATTTTATTTTATTTTATTTTATTTATTTATTTATTTATTTATTTGATTTATACCCCGCCTATCTGGCCTGCCGGACCACTCTAGGCGGCTAAGAAAGATATTTATAAGAAAAATAACAAATTATTTCCCTCACCTTACACTTGTCTGTTTAAAACCCCAAATAAAGTTGAGAGGCCCAGAGTCTTGTGCAAGGAAGAACTAGTCCACTGTTCCAAAGACCTTGACAAAAGGAGGCCATTTCTCTGGAACGGGAGATGAAGGCAATGCCTGCCTGTCAGAGAAGAGCTCAGTTAGTCTTTAAGGCAGGGCTGGGGGGAACCCGAGGCCCTCCAGAGACCGTTGGGATCCAGTTCGCACTGGCTTTCTTTTGCTAACCTGGCCAGTGTTGAGGGATGATGGGAGTTTTAGTTGAAGAGCTGTAGGGGCACAGGTTCTTCACCAGCACCTGAAGATTATTATCTATTTTGCTTTATTTTATTTATATGCCTCATTTCTCCCTACACTGGGACCCAAGGCAGTTGTAGCCCACCTTTTCAGAGTGAGGGGAGAGAACTTATAATTTATCTTGTTGCTATGTATTATTTTATTTTTTATCATGTTTTAATATTGCTGTTTATATTATTGTTAGCCGCCCAGAGTGGCCTGGTTGCTAGATGGTGTGGGGTATGTATGTATAAA